CCTGGAGATCTGCGTTGTCTCGGTTGCTTGCCACTATTGCTATTGGAACAGTGATGAAGGTTTAGTTTCAAAGGTCAGCTGAGGACTAGTTAATTGTCATTCAGTAGTTTCTCAGAATCAGAGCTATTCCTGGCCCAGTTCAAGTACCCATGTATATCACGCCATTTCTTCCACATCAGGTCTTTATATTGTGATGAAATGGAAATGAATTTCAACAATAGAATCCTCTTCTCATTTACATATAGCATTCATAGTAGTGCCTGTTTCTGGCATGATAACCTAACATGACAAGTTTTGTATTACTCTATATAAGTAGGTGAAAGAGTTAGGGCTCTTGGCCTCTGTGGCTCATGTAACATTTATCCATTTCATAGGTCTTTCTCACCACCACCAGTTTCTCTTCTAGCCTTTACATTTTTTTCCCTTTCCTTCCAATTTATCTGGCTAATTTACACAGGCGTTTCATCCTCATCTTGTGTCCATCTTAGTTTGCATCATTTTGGAGAATTTAAAGAGGTCTTCAATTCTTTGGGCGAACAACTTTCTAAAGTGGATAGGAACAATTTAATGTTTGAACCTGGGCTGTAAGATACCTAGAGCCTAGAGTTTTTGAGTTTACTTTATTCTAAAGCCTACTTCTAGTGCTCAGGATGAGACTTTTTAACATGTTGCTTAGCATCAAGGGAGCAATCCATCCATGAGAATCGCTCTCTGTTTTTAATAGTTCATGCTGCTTTAAAGCATGCTCTGTAATTGGATTGGTAAATCAAGGCTGGATCTTTTTGAAATGAAGAAATTATCCTACTATAAACAAACAGGAGATGTTTATGATGGAGAAAGTCAAAAGGGCAAACCCTTTCCTTCCTAAAGAAGAATTGAAAATATGCTAAAGAGAATATACATGTTTGTGCTGTCACCCCCTCCCCATTAATATTAGCTCACAACCTATTGAATAATACCAATTAATTTTAATTTCCAATAAATTAAATTTCACTTCCAAGTACGGAAGGTCATACAAGTTACCTGCATGAAATTATCTGCCAGGGTTTTGCTCATTTTTTGGCAGGGCCCAGGGAAGAGTATAGTTAAGAGGTTTTCAATTAAAATGCTGCATCTCTGGTTTCAAAGCAGCCTGTAAGGTTGCTGATGTCATGTCAAAGCAATTACTTTGCGCTCCTAAGAGCTTACACTAGAAACAGGTGAAAACTTCCAAAGATTTTATAGATTACCAGATCATGGTTAGAAAGCAAATGTAAAGGATGCATCCGTCTCTTTTTGCTCCTGTCTGTTTAAGCTGACAGGAGAGATTGTGGACCATGTCTCCATGGAAACTGGTTCCTCAGCAGGCAAAGAGCTGAAGACTGCAACTCTCACTTAAATCCTTCATTTGTCAAGGGAAGAATCTTTTGAAGTAATGTGGTATGTCAATCCCACATGGGGATATGAAATTCTCAAATGTCTTTGACAGCTAACATCTTATTAATATATTGCACGATATATGTCGGTAATGTTCTACTGATCTCAGAAACATGCTAATCTTAAATTGATTATTTTAATCAGCTATAACTTTGACAGAGTGTGATGTTTCATGGAGGGAAATGATTCTCTGTTACAAAATGAGGTTCACTTAGATTTTGATGCAGAAGTTTCAAAGAAAGGGATGTGAATATTAAAGGAAAACCGAGCACGGACTAAAGCCCTTGGTCTAATCCAATGTTCTTATCGCATCAGTTCTGCAGAAATTGGATAGTAAAGGTTTTCATGGCATAGGGACGAAAGCTTTATCCCCTGCTGATGTCTGCACATTAGAAAGTTGATCCTGTTCTGTTTACTGAAACTTTTCAGTTCAGTTTATAACACCTCAGTGGGTATCCATCTCTCTCTCTCACATACACATACAGTACAAATTAGATTAGACTTCAGCTGTAGTTTATGAGTCAGTGTTAAGACTTTTATTACAGCAGAAGACAAAGGAAGACACATTGAAAATGAAAAAAATGCAGTTGATAGAACCAACAGTAAAAATAGTAGGGTTTTTTCCCCTTATAAACAACTATATGGATTATCTAGGGGTTGATTAAATGGTTGTTTCCTTCTTTACTTCTTGCATTTAAATCAATAGACAATTGATGGGAAATTGTGGCCTTCTAGCAGTTCTAGACAACTGGACTCATGGTAGAAGATCCTGGAAGCTATGGTATAGCTACATTTGGAGGTTCATATCCTCTCATTTCCACTATAGGCTGAAGTAGAACATTCTCTTACTACTGGCATGCAAGCTAATAGTTAAATTAATTTAAAAAATCCTAAGCAAAATAGTACAATGTGAGAATCTAACCTAAAATATCAAAGATATCTAGTTATGTAAATCTCTGGGTCAGATGGTTAAATATTGAACTTCTAGCAAAAATGGAAGCTGAAAGAGAAAAGAAACTATTTAGTAACAGCTGCATTCATAAGGTTTATAAGGTTTACATCAACTAGATTTTTTGAATCCAATTAAAATGAACTTGAGATTGATCCTGGCTGTCTTGATTTAGTTTCATTTCTACATGAACACAGGGTTGCTATGAGTGTAGGTCTGTTTATATTTTTGCAAATCTGTTGGGCTCACTGAGACTCCCCAGACAAATAATGCTTGCTTGCCAGCTTTCCATATAGCAACTGACTACTTTGTCCTTTTTCCATCAGGGCTGACTGTACAGTCATCATCTTTGGGGGGTAAAAAAAATAAAAAGAGAGAGAGTGAGAGAGAGAGGATAAGAATAAGAATTCCCCAGGCTTCTGTGCTTGCCAAGATATTCAAACTGCTGGGTTTCAAAGCTGTCACTACTGATATGCTAGAAAGTTGGCATTTGGGCTACTGTGTTTTGAGTGCCATCGGATTTTATTCTTATGTGTTAAATTGGAACTTACATTCCAATATTCCAGTTATTGTCTTTTCAGGATATCCTCAGGCAGCCCTTGAAACTTTTAAGCATTTTTTCTGTGATTTTCTTTAGTAATGACTTTCTTACAGTAGCATGTAAGTAGCATTCTTACAATACGATTAGGGTTTTTGCTATTGATAGACTTCCTTAGCATTCTCATCATGAGTTATTGATTAACATTCTTTTCCTTGTTACTTTTTCTGTGCATATGTTGATACACCATTTGTTTTCTCAAGCCAGAAAAATATTTGCTGTTTTTCTTTATAGGCTTGCCAAAATTTTAAACCAAATCACCATTTCATCTTGAATGTAGATGATACAAAATCATATGGATTTATTATAGTATCATAATTCTGAGAGTTCTGTAGTCATAGGTACAATACCTTTGACATGTTTCTTAAATCACAAATTTGAGCTAGAGAGTTCCTAAAATATGATTTTAGTGTTCTTCAAATTGGGTGGCCTAACTGATCACTGTTGAATAGAATTTTATTGTTATTCCAACAACAATAACCAAACCCATATTACTGGAACAGCAGAAGTGATAATTGAGAAGGTATTAAGGGTAGAACTTCTCATTTGAGATAGTATTTTGCATCATTCAGGTTTTAATTTTAGATTTTTTTTCAAGATAAAAAAAATTGCCCTAGGTGGTTGGTCTAAGACTAAAATCCTTAGACCAACTGCCCTATATGTGCCATCCTAAGGATGTATTCAGAACTAACCGATCACTAACTTCTCCTTCAGGGGCAAGGAGTTCAAACAGGTGACAAATGCACAACTTGTATCTGTATCAAACCAACTTCTGACTTTGTACCAAGACTGTTGTAATAGCCCTGCTAGAAAAAATACAGGAGATAAAACCTTCTTCTTGAACCCTATGTATATTTAGATAGGTGGTAGATATGGTGGTTTTGCTTCAGTCTGCAGAACTTGCTGAGAAGGCGGTTTTGTCAATTATTGCTTTCCTAATAGCATCTTTGTTGTGAAGCTCCTGCCAAGTTTTATCTTGTCTATGATTTTGATGAACCATAAAAGGTGTCAAGAAAGATCATTCAACCATTTGTAGCGATGTGTCATTGGTATTTTCTGTTTCTTCTTGTCACTTAAGTCTCATGAATTAGAGTTATGCCAGTGGTGATTTTTCTCGTATTGGGATGATACTTTGATCATCTTCTGATTAATCTTCTGCAAATCTCAAAAATGGGTCTTGTATTTGAGAATTGCTGCAGGTAATATAAAGTGCAGTTTCTAGATTTAATTTTTTTAAAAAAACATGGGAAAATTTTCAAGACTATTTTAAAGTATTGGTGCTTACCTAAATTGTTTGAGATAACAATCATTTAAACATATATACATATTCATTACCAAATTGCCTGGATGTTGAATTTACCTGCTCATGTTTTGCTTTGGGTCCTTTCACTGTCAAATGGAACAGATATTTTCAGAGCAGCTGCTTTATCTGAGGAATACCTTTCTGGGGGGAAAAAATGGTCCAATTATCTTTAATATGTATGTATGTATGGCCAAAACCCACATATAATTTTACAGATGCCCATATATGTGTATCCTATTACTTTCGTTTTATTTTTCTTTCATGGTTTAATAGTTTTAATATATTGCAAGCTGTCATGGGATAAGTTGGAAAGAATAGTGTAGAAATATTTGTCTCTCACACAAGACGCACATTATGCCTGCTGTTTTCACATAGGAAATAGGACTAGGGATGTGTCCAGTATCAGAGTGGGACTTCTAGTATCAAAGGAGAAAAAGAGTGGGTACTAAACATTTGGAAGGACAGGCATAAACATACTTTTACTAAATGATTTGACTTCCATAATTGAACACGGACAATGAAAGAACATTGTTAATCCCTATCTTGTGTAGTTTGACCATAGATCAACAAATATGTTCATGATCATTTCAGTATGTATGTATCATAATTTTTTATTTTCCTTGTAATTTGATGTTGATGTGGTGGATTGGAGTAGAAAATGATTATCTTTCAACGGGAATATTAGATTTTATTTGATTTTGTGAACAAATAATCATTATGTTTTTGAATGTTAGGGTGTGGAATGGCGTTGTGATGAGACTACTAAAAAAGCTTGTTATAGTAAAGGCAAATCAACGGTAAGTCCTTAATCAGTTTTCTCTATCTGAAATGGTACTATTTCTTTTTTCTAGATGTCTTGGATGTGGTAAAACTGCATCTATATTACATGTAATAGTTATTCCCAATGTTTTGCCTTCTGGATTTAGTATGATTTTTGGACGTTTATTGTGAATTTTCATGCCAAGAATGCTTAATGGATAGACTACACAATGCAGGATTTTCAAGGAAAAAAAGAACAAAAACAGAAACATGCCGGTAGAATAGAAGAAGGGTTACAGATTTTTAAGACTGAAAAAAACAAACCAGCTGAAAATGGCATTTGAAACTCAAGGTATTAGTAATAGGGCTAATATCCAGCTCCCACTACCCCTGTGTAATCATTGAGATTATCTGAAGTTTTGGAGTAGTATGGTGTTTCTTGAGATTAGGACTGATGATTGGCAGGTTTGCATTTGAGACCCACTTGCTGCCATGGGGTGGGGTGAGCTCCCATCACACATACCAGCTTCTGCTGACTCAGCTGTTTGAAAGCTGGAGACTGCAGGCAGATAGATGGGTACCACTTTGGTGGGGCGACTTAATGGGGAGCTGAAATGAGCCCCCAACTTGGCAGCCTCTGGGCAACAGTGATGTCACTGTTTAATCCTTTCAACCCGGAAGTGCTTTGTGGTCCTGGCACAAATGTAGTTGTAATCTGAAGTTTATAAACTCACTCTAAAACCTGCACTTTCCCATTTTAGATAAAAATTGGGGTGATTGAATAAAGATGTGCAAATAATCAAGGTGAAAACTTTCTGAAAAGTTAACATCCCATTCTAAGCTCTTCCAGCTTCATCAGAAATGTTCCAACTTTGGAACAAGTTGTTCTGACTTTACTGAAAGACATCTGATCTTGAAGTGGATGTCAAAGGAAGGCATCTGGCCAGAATATCTCTACATTAAAACATTTTATAGAGTTCTCAGTTCTGCAAATCCCTACTGTCTGGTTCATATTGCCGTGAAATCAGCTGCTTAGTGTTGCTATTGGGTGCAAAACTCAGTCATTGATTGATTGATTTTCTTATACTGCCATCTTCATACAGACTCCTTGTAGTTTACAACTATAAAAAAAATATAAAAGTCTAGAACTCAAAAGAAAACAAAACCCCTCCAAAACACTGCCAAGGAGATCTCTGGACAATATTTGTTCTGTGATGGTCTGGTATTTCATCAGTTCTCTAACATTTCTTAAAAATTACCCTTAATATCAGCAAATTTCTGTAGTATTATTTGATAGTTTGTTAGGGTTGGTTCATATATCATGTCTGTGTTTATAGAAGGGTGTGTTGAATAAAAGAATATATGAAAAAGAAAAACAAGAATTAAAGAATTAAAGTCCTGAATTCTAAATAGTTATAAGATTTGTGTAGTACAATAAATTAAGAGGGTTATGTTTCAATTTTTGTATTAGTTTATCAAAATATAAAATACAAAGAAAAATGAAAACAGTGGGAAAGTAGGGGAGGAAAAAGGCAAGAGAAAAAAAATGTAGGTTAAAAGGAAAAAAAAAGAAAAAAGAAAAAAAGACATTGAGTTCCAAATCTTTTTAGAGCAGTAGATTAAGATAATACCATACAGCCTCAACTTTTTACTTTTACATAATAATATACACTAACCATTTCTATAATAACAAACCTACCTAATCAGCAAAATCCAGAGTCAAAGTTTCATTCCCCCCCCCCCCCCAAACACAGAAGTGGTTTCCAAGTGGAAACAAAGTTAGCTGTATTTTTTCTTTGATTAAGGCAGTCAATTTAGCCATCTCTGCTAATTCCATCAGTTTTTCCAGCCAGTCATCCATTGTGGAAATTAAAATATCATTCCATTTTCGTGCATAGTGATATCTACCGTCAGCATATATATCAACTAAATTCCAAAATTTTGTTCGTGTTCTTGGTCCATTAAGTCTAAAAGAAAAGTCTCTGTCTTTATCTTTATATTCCCTTCAAGAATCTTCTTTCTAATGAAAAATTAACTTTTGCCAACTTTTTAAATTCAATTTTATCTCCTTCCATATTTTACCATAATTATTTTTGTAAAGTTTAGAATTTTCCTCAATAAGAGTCACTTTAAGAATCTTCTGTTTAAAATGTAAATTTTACTCCCTTTTTTGGGGTGGGGGGTGGGGGGAGGCTTTGTCTCAAATCCATCGGAGATGGTAAAAAAAATCCTTCTTTACATTTATATTACCAACATGCATTTGAAATACCTTTATCCATTTTTGACATTTAATATAAATCTTTAAGCCTTTGTAATAAATGAAGTGGTTTACGGTAGCATCAGACAACAAAACATTATTTTTCTATAGAAGTCCACACATACACTTACTGCACAATGAACATTGCTGTTTTCGGTCACGGAGGAAACGCCGGTCACATGAGGGATGTGACTTATCCAGTAATCCTAGGACTGAGTCTACCAACTAAAGAAGTCCCGCCTCTTCCTGTATCCAGTTTTTCGACTCGGTCCGGTAGAGGACAGTCATGTCTGTTTAGCTCTCTCTTCAATCTCCACGTGGGAGAGCTTTTTTGGCTATTGTTTGCTGATTTCTTCCTATTTTTGCTTCGTTCTGCTCAATTTGCTGGCTTTTTACAAGAAAGCGGCAAAACTTAATTGAATTCAGCTGGGGAGTGCTAGAAGTGTTCCGGCAGCTGTGAGCAGCCCCGCGGCAGCGCGCACGTGCGTAAGCACCGCCGCGCCTATTTACAGCAGTTTTTCGGCGATTTTGGGGCGTTTGGAGAGGTTTCCTAGCCTCCTTCTGCTGTTGGAGCATTGTGGCTGCAGATTTGTGGCGCGAAGGCTTTTCCGCGCCTAATTTTGCCGCGCCTTTAAGCCATTTGGCTAGCGGCCATTTCAAGCCTCCTGTTTGTCCATCCTGGCTTCTGGATTCTGCCTGCTTCTCTCCTGGCGCAGTGAGTTACCTGAACCACCAATTATCCCCTGTGGGAAGATTTTTAAGGGTGATTTCCCTCCTTTGGCCTTCATTTCTGAGCTGTGAAAGTAAATTCCTGCTCCAAAATGGCGGATGCTAGGGGCAACAAATCCCAGAGCAAAGGAAAAAGGGGCCATACTTCTGATCCTAAGGAAGGTTCCTCAGGGGACCCTGTCCCTACCAAGGCAGCCAGAGTTTCTACTAGATCCACTCACTCCAAGAGTGCTAATCCTGCTGCATCATCAAGGGAAGAGACCAGGAGGCATAAGGCCATGGAAAAGGCCTTTCAAAAAGCTGCATCAGAGGCCTCTAGAGTTTCATCTCCTGCTGTGGGGCCTTCTAAATCATCTGCCCTCCCCACTTCTAATGTGGCTGTTCCCCCTTCTCAAATTCAAATTGAACATGATTTTTCTCCTGATCAGTCTACTCTGGGTGAGAATGTGGCTGCTGATGCTTCTTCTATATTTCCTGCTGCTAGGCCTCTATCTCCAATTGTGTCTATTCAAGCCCCTCCAAGGCAAGAACCCCCTGAGGCTCCAGCTCAATCCAGCAATCAAGGGGCTGAGGCTCCTTTGTGTTTAACTCCTGCCCTAGCTGAACTTATTTCAGTATCAATTAGGCAGGGTATTGCTGAAGGCCTGCAGCAAAGGGCCTCTTCTGAGGTCTCCAGTTATGTGAGTCAACAGAGTCGTTCTGTGAGGGCCCAGGCTGTTGCTGATCCTGTGCAATGTGAGGAAAGGGTGGATTCCCAGGAAAATGCAAGTCAAGGTTCCCTATCTGAAGGGGAAATTGCCCCGGATCAAGATCTCTCGGATGATGAAGGTCTGGAACCAGACCAGCCTTCCTTCATTGGGCTTTTTAAACCTCAATTATTCAGATCCTTATTATATAAAGCTCAAAATGTTACTGGCCTGGAAAGTTCTTCTGCTTCTTCCACTCAAAGGGAGGCTTCTACATCTTCATCTCAGCATCCCTCTTCATCATTATTATTTCAGGAACCTTCCATTCGTGCAGAAGTGGTTCCAGCTCCCAAGCTGTTTTCTGATGTGATCCAAAGACAGTGGTCTTCTCCTAGTTCTGGCCCTGTTCCTAATGGTCTAGATAAAAGGTTTTATAATATGGCTTCATCCTGCAAGTTCCTTCTGTAGATGCGCCTGTTGTGGCTCTCTCTTCTGCATCTCCTCTTACCGGCCCGTCAGAGGAATCCCTGCGCCCTGAAGACAAGAAGTTTGAGCGTTCCTTGGTCAAGGACCACCAGGCTTCAGCTTGGTCCATTCAGGCCTCCTCGGCCACTTCCTTTTTTTAACAGGGCTTCCATTCTTTGGCTTTGCCAACTGCAGGAACGGCTGCCTTCTTCTGATGTACGATCTCACCGGGACATCAACAAGATCCTCGCTGCTGTTGAGTTCTCTGCTGATGCCACTCTGAATGCTGCCAGGTTTTCAGCGAAGGCTATCGGGTCTTCAGTCACATCACGACGGCTTCTTTGGCTTCGTCAGTGGCAGGCAGACGTCCGAAACAAGTGGAGGCTTGCATCGGCTCCCTTCTCGGGGAACAATCTCTTCGGCTCAGCCTTGGATCCACTTCTCATCGAGACGAAGGATCATCGCAAGATTCTGTCCTCCTTATCGAGGAGATCTGATCCTCATCAGCAGAGCTCCTTTCGAGCCCATTCCTTTCGCTCTGACTTCTCTTCCTTCCAGTCCAGGCCTCAGCAGTACTCTCAGCCCAGGGGTGGACAACAGCAGGATTTCCAGGTCAGGCAGGGGTCCTGTTTCCCTTCCCGCAGGCCCTTCAGGGGAGGTACGGGCCACCCCTTCCGTAGATCCGTTAGTTCTCCCTTACTTATCCCTGACTCCTTAATTGGAGGTCGGTTGGCTTCCTTTGCTGACCAATGGGATAATTCAGTTTCAGATCCTTGGATTAGACGTACAATTAGATTTGGTTTGACCCTTGAGTTCTCTTCTGTTCCCCCTAGCTTGTTTGTCAGGTGCCCAGTTTCTCAGGTCAGGACCAAGAGGGTTCTGCTGGATGAGGCTATTCAACATCTTTTGGAGATTAGGGCTGTTCAATGTGTTCCCCAAGGGGAAGTCGGCCAGGGCTTTTACTTTCGTTTGTTTCTAGTTCCCAAGGCTTCAGGCGGCTGGAGGGCCATATTGGATCTTAAATCCTTGAACAAATATATAGTCTATCGTCGGTTCAAGATGTAATCCCTCCAGACCATTCTCCTCTCTATCCGTCCAGGTGATTTTTTGTCCTCCATCGACTTGACGGAGGCATATCTTCATGTGCCCATATTTCCGGAACATCGGAAATACCTCCGTTTTTGTTATCAGGGTAGGCATTATCAGTAGAGAGCCCTTCCCTTTGGCCTTTCCTCAGCTCCCAGGGTCTTTACGAAGATCATGGCTGCCTTATCAGGCCATATGAGATCTTTTCCTGTTAGAGTTTTGTTTTATCTAGATGATATTCTTATTTTGTCTAGTTCTGAGGTCAGGGGCAATGAGGATGTTCAGGTCACTATTCAAACCCTGCAGTCCCATGGTTTTTTGGTTAATCGTTCCAACCTAGAGCAACCTAGTTCCTTCCATCTGCATCCAGCATTTGGGGGCTGTTATTGATACTGTCAGGTTGCAGGTTTTCCTTTCACAAGAACGTCAGGATAGTATTGTTGAACTGGCAGGTCAGGTTAAGGCTTCACATTCTTTTTCCCTCCTGGGTCTTTCCCGCTTGTTAGGGAAGATGGTATCTGCCTTCGGAATCACGCCCTGGTCTCGGTTTCATAGCCGGGAACTTCAGTGGTTTTTACTTCTGTTTCAACAGTCTCGCAGGAGCACATCAGTGGCCAGAGTTCCCTTGACCCCAGCAGTTCTTCGGTCCTTGGCCTGGTGGACCTCTCCGGCTCTTGCTCGGGGTTGCCTGTTCAGAGTTCCTCAACGCATCAGCATCACCACGGACACGAGCCTCTTCGGATGGGGGGCTCACCTGGAGTCTCATCTGGCTCAGGGGCAGTGGTCTGTCCAGGAGAGGGGACTTCACATCAACATCTTGGAGCTCAGAGCCATCTTCCGGGCCCTTTGCAAGTTTGCCCCTCTCCTTTGGGGTCTGGATGTCTTGATCAGAACAGACAACGTAGCTGCCAAAGCCCACATCAACCGGCAAGGAGGGACCTGCTCCAGGGCTCTTATGAGGGAAGCCTCCCGTCTCCTCAGGTGGACGGAGATTCACCTGGCCTCCATTCACGCCTCTCACATCTCGGGGTCATCGAATGTACAGGCGGACGCCCTCAGTCGCTCAGTGGTGGACCAGACGGAGTGGAGCCTCAATCCACTTCTGTTCCAGGACATCGTGCATCGCTTCGGTCTTCCGGCAGTAGACCTCTTTGCGTCTGAATCCAACCACCAGCTCCCGAGGTTTTACACGAGGTTTCCTGTCCAGGGGGCCGAGGCTATAGATGCCTTGATCAGCCCGTGGCCTTGTGGTCTTCTTCTCTATGCTTTCCCACCTCTTCCCCTCATCTCCAGGGTCATCAGGAAGCTGTTGCAGGAACAAGCCGAGCTCGTCCTTCTGGCACCCTTCTGGCCCAGACAACTGTGGTTTGCGGATCTGATGGCTCTCTGTGTCGCTCCCAATTGGCAGATTCCGGCCGACAAGATCTCCCTGTGGCAAGGCCGCCTAGCTCATCCAGATCCTCAGTGGCTCCGGCTGACCGCCTGGAGGTTAATCGGTTCCTCCTGTCCACGGCCAGGGTCCCTTTGGAAATAATATCTACGATCCAGGCCTCTCGTCACAAGTCAACAAACCGTATTTACAATGCCACTTGGATGGCCTTCTCTGCCTGGTGTCGACGTAAGAAGGTTCTTCCTACTGCTGCTTCCATTCTTGACATTCTAGGTTTTCTTCAGGATGGCTTCAAGTCAGGACTCTCTCCCAATACTCTCCGGAGGCAAATCTCTGCCATCTCTTCTATCCTCACCTGCGGCACCGCTAAGTCTGTGTCCACTCACCCTCTAATCCGGTCATTCCTTAGAGGCACTGCCAATCTACGTCCGTTCATCGGTTTCCGACCTGGGACCTGAACAAGGTTCTATTGGCTCTTACTGGTCCTCCTTTTGAGCCTCTCCGGGTAGTCTCGCTGAAGTTTTTGTCTTTTAAGGTGGCCTTTCTCGTAGCGATCACCTCGGCTTGGAGAATCTCGGAGTTGGCTGCTCTCTCAGTTCGTCAGGATCTCTGTATCATTCATGCTGATCGAGTTTCGCGATTGGATCCAGCCTTTATTCCGAAGATCAATACAGCCTTCCATCGCTCCCAAGAGATCATTTTTCCCAACTTCTGCCCTTCCCCCCGTCATCGCCTGGAGAAGGTGTGGCACAAGCTTGATGTTCGTCGGGCTCTCAAGATTTATATCTCCAGGACTTCTTCCTTTCGTCGTTCTGAGGCTCTTTTTGTGTCTTTCCAACCCAAGTCCATGGGGTCAAAGGTTTCTTCCACTACCTTGGGACGTTGGCTCAGGGCTTCCATTTCCTTAGCTTACGAAGCTCAATCATTGCCAGTGCCTCGTGGTGTTACAGCCCACTCTACCAGGAGCGCAGCTACTTCGGCTGCCTGGTCTACCCAAGCTTCTCTCGAGGAGGTCTGCCGAGCTGCTACATGGACGTCTCCGTCTCCGTTTATTCGGCATTACCGGTTGGATGTTTATGCATCAGTGGAAGCTTCATTTGGGCGACGTGTGCTGCAGCGGGTATCCTCCCAGGACCAAGAGCGGTGCCGGCCTTCTCTCTCCCAATAGGTACATGGGCTTTGGTATATCCCTCATGTGACTGGCGTTTCCTCCGTGACCGAGAATGGGCATTGGTCTTACCTGATATGCCGCTTCTGGTCACTAGGAAACGCCGGTCACCCCCTCCCGATTGGCCCGGCACCTCTTGTGCTGGATTATGGCTGTTGAAGGACGGGGGTGGGTCCTGGGGATTTTTTACTTCTCCTTTATCTTTACAGACACGACAGTCTGCCGTGCGTCCTAGTCCCAAACTGGATACAGGAAGAGGTGGGACTTCTTTAGTTGGTAGACTCGGTCCTAGAATTACTGGATAAGTCACATCCCTCATGTGACCAGCGTTTCCTAGTGACCAGAAGCGGCGTATCAGGTAAGACCAACGCCCATAATCTATAATCAGCAGCTGTTGTAATAAGTATACATATTGATGTATTAGTACTTACAGAACACATTGATGGATTGTGTTGCTGTCATTGGGAATTAATTGTACATAATTTCTGACTTTATAGAAGTTTCTTAATACATATCACTATACTAATAATATATTTTGCTTTGGCAGGAAGAGTGCCAGAATTATATTCGTGTTCTCCTGATTGGTGGAGATAGACTATTTGCATGTGGAACTAATGCATTTACACCTATTTGCACTAATCGGACGGTAAGAATATGAGTGGATCTGCACTACAATCCTGTAGGTGTCATAATTCAGTAAGACAGAAGTGTGGAGGAAGATTTCTATGATTGTGGAATTTCTTGTACAAATACAAATAAATTGGATACTCTCCATTATGCACTAGGTGGCCATCTATCAACTGCAATGTATAATGCATAATTTCCAGTATTTCATCCATTCTATAATTACCAATATTATATCAACAGAGACTTGAGAATGTTATTACCACTTAGTATATTATTAATCATAAGTATTATTAATGGCTGAAGAAAAAAATGGCAAAGAGACCTGGGAATTTCTTCATTGATTACATTTGGAATGAGACACTCTCTGGTCTGCCATGGTCTCTTTCATGGAGTCTGATCTACAGCTGATCTGAGATTAGAAATTTCCCCAGTCCTGTAAGGCTTTAAAATAGCCCAATCTGTATATCTGAGGCCATTTTAAGCATTCTGGCCATGGGGGACTTTTCAAAGAGGAATTACTGGAAAATGAAAGGTTCTGCTGCCCAACCTTACAATATTGGTAAGGAGTACCTATCATTTATAATAAAGCTTCAAAATAAGCTTAATTTATGACTGTTCAGGCTATTTTTAAGCCTTATTGTGGTATAGGTGGCATTTTCAAGGAGAGGGAAGTACCTGAAATGGAAAAATGTAGTTTTCTTAATTCTGTGTTTTTTCTCTCAAATGTTTGGTACTGTATCCTGCAATACTTGAATGCTAGCAGACTGTTTTAATGGTGCTGTGATACAATATGTATTCATGCTGTGGATTAACTGAATGAGTGTGTATATAAGATGGAAAGAGTGAATGGATTCACTTAATAAAATAATGTTTCAATATTTTGTAAAATTTGGATGGAGTTCTATTGACTGAGCTTCTGCAGTGGAAGCAAGGACGAAGCAATAACCTTTCCTCTTGCAACTCCCAGTGTTCTTCCAAAACCTGGCCAATAAATGAATACATATGCATATTTTAAACACTGAACATGTTGTAGAGGTCACTTACATGATGGACATTCTGAATAGTAATCTGTATAGGGTGAATAAGATCTAGTGTACTGTAGATATGCAACACTTTATTGAACTTGTAGTCCCTAAAGCTAGTAAGAAGTCTATATTAATAAGAATGTACTTTAAGACATCATTTTTAATTCTTCACATTAGAAGTCAGTTTTTTCTTTCAGTTATTTGTGTGCATATGTATATATTTATATTTAATGTAAGAATAGAATTAAGAGTTATATAATAGTTAATTCAATGTTGATATGGAGGAAAATTGAAGGAGTTCCTGAACCAACATCAGGACACCTGTACAAATAAATTCTTCAGTTTATGTTCAAGATGTGTGGGTTTCATATTCTTTAATGCAGTTTGTAATAATCCTTCCTCTCCCCACTATTCTGATGAAGCTAAGTAACCTGGAAGAGACACATGATCAGATCAGTGGTATGGCACGCTGTCCTTATAGCCCCCAGCACAATTCTACAGCTCTCCTTGCAAGCACTGGTGAGTTATATGCAGCAACTGTCATGGACTTTCCAGGGAGAGATCCTGCAATTTATCGCAGTTTGGGTATTCTTCCTCCACTTCGGACTGCACAGTACAACTCTAAGTGGCTTAATGGTGAGTATATGGAAGAGACAATTTTTTTTGGGTTAGGAAATGCTTTCTTTTAAGAACTTCAACTAATTCATTTTGAAGGAAAAAACTTCATTCTTACAACTCAAAGGCTCTTCACATATAGAATAATAACTTCTTAGATGTCATCATTACAGGTTTAAAGTTGGTCATGTTAGATGAAATTGGGGCATGGGGAGAAATAAAGAAAAGATATAAAACAACTGAGTGTTAATTGTGAACATATAAGAGGCATATACTGTACTATAAAAAAATCATAGGTTTATTTAGTTCTTAATACAAGTAGTCCTCATTCAGCAACCACTCGGTCAGTGTTTGTTCAAAGTTACAATGATGCTGTATGTGGAGAGTTACAACCAGTCGTCCTAGTTGCAGCAATTGTAGCGTCCCTACAGTCACACCTTCGCTATTTGGAAGCTTGGCAACTTGCTTGCAGTTAGAATAACTCAGGGTGATCAGGTGATAGCCATTTGCAACCTTCATTGCTGACTTCCAACAAGCTGAATCAATCGGGAAGCCAGCAGGAGATTGCAAATGGTGATATCATGTCTAATAATCACATGAAATTCACTTACCAATGGCAACTAGAATGGCCCAAACTGCCATTGTAAGTGCAGTCATATTAAGTCAGTGCAGTCACATGACATTGCAGTTTACAACTGCATTGCTTAACTATGGAGTTCCCAGTCTGAATGACCATAGTTCACCAAAGAGTCTGTATAAGTGTAACAAAAAAGATCATTGGTAGTCTTTGGACAGTTACTACAGCATATATTACTAAATTATTGTGCTTAATCTTGGTATTATTTGAATGAACATAATCTTGGTAGGAGAAAGGAAATCAGACTAAAACTGACAGATGTAAGTGGACTCTTGTTGAGTTCATGAATGGAAATTTCAAAAAATGTTACATAAAAGTTGGGATTTAAGGAAAATATTAAGGGGGGGGCAAAAACAGTAGCTTCTTGCATGAATCCTAGGTACGTGGCCTAAAGAAACAAGGGTCCATGTGTAGATGGATGGAGTCGATTTAGGGAGTTATTTTCCTCTATTTTTTTTTCAAAATATATTCCAGAACCAAATTTTGTGTCTTCATATGACATCGGAAACTTCATCTACTTTTTCTTCCGAGAGAATGCAGTGGAACATGACTGTGGGAAAATAGTTTTTTCTCGGGCTGCTCGAGTTTGTAAGAATGACATTGGTGGCAGATTTTTGCTGGAAGATACTTGGACCACCTTCATGAAAGCTCGTTTGAATTGCTCCCACCCTGGAGAAATTCCATTTTACTACAATGAATTACAGAGTACGTTCTTCCTGCCAGAACTGGAATTAATCTACGGGATCTTTACCACTAATGTGTATGTAGTTTATGTAGTATTTTCTTTCTAGAACATTCAAAATTAACTTGAGGATATCTATTTATATCCAGGAGTGGGCAATCTTGAAAACAAACCCATACTGAAAAAAAATCTAAGTTAAAGATTTTGGTAGAAAATGATTATATATTTATCACTTTTAGAAGGGTATAAAACTAACAGCTAGATGAATGTGAGTTTTTCAAACCTAAAAGCTTTCCTTGTTTGAATTTTTAATTTGGTAAGATGGTAGCAATTGTCAAAAATGGAGAGTATATTATATACTAAAATATTTGTATCAGTCATATTAATTAATTTGCAAAGACAACAGTTCCATTAGTCGATGTGGTTTATTTTTTTTTAAATATACAAAAAAGTTAAGAAAACATGCCTTGTATTACAGCATGAATACTATGAATTGTAGGAGAACATTCAACTGGAGACAAGAGATCCTATGAAGCAGTGGTCCCCAATATTTGCTGCTTGGTGGCCTGGCTGGGGCAGAGATGGGAACCAGGCCACACAGCGGTAGGCCAGTGCACACGTGTGTGTGCCTGCAAGAGAAAAGACAAGCCTTTGGGGCGTGGTCTCGGATCCTTCAGGCTTCTCCACACCAAAAGCTTTTGCAAAGGGACAGAAGACCTGAAGCAGTGCGAGATCTCTCCCCCGAAGCCTTTCGTCCGTTTGCAAAAGCTTTTGGCATGGAGAAGAGAACCCTTTGGGGGTGCAGTCTCATGCTCCTTCAGACTCACCGAGCTTTCCCGATGGTCCAAAAGCAGATCGGGTTACCTGTGCAGGCAGTCTCAGTGAGTCATCCCACTCAGCCTCTGTTCTCACTGCTCCTCTTTTGGAGCATCGGGAGCAGTTGGCATGGCAGCCCAACTGAGTTGGGGAGAGGGGATCTGGGCTATGCAAATGGCGAGCCAGCATACGTGAACATGAAACTCTACGGAAGAGAGAAGAGAAGCCTTTGGGGCATCGGTCTCAGGACCTGGTTGCGAAGAGGCCACAGTCTGGTAGTGGGCCGTGACCCACAGGTTGGGGAGCCCTGCTATGAAGTATTGTTTTGATCATACAATGAAAATCATTCAAGAAAGAATCCGGTCCACTCAAGAAAGGTAGTTGAACCTGGATGAATGCTATGATGGAGTAAATCTTGTCATAATCATATAAACAGTTGTTTCTGGAGACACATTGCAGGGCCTTTTCTCTTACAAGCCATTTCTCAGATATCTGAATAGATATCTTACTAAGATATTTAAAAGTAATGACTAAGATGTTAAATTTTATGCAACAATCAATTGGAAACCAATGAAGTCACTGTAAATTGATAGTTTCCTGATTCAAATGATGGCAAATTCCCGGATTATTTTGGTAGTTTCAAAAGTATTCTACAGTATACTTATTTCCTTCTGATCATCGGGCCATTTTAAAGTCAGTTTTTTCTAAAGTGATTTGCCACTTCCTAGGGTTGGGAGAGAAAGATTGTCTCAAGGTTACCCAGCTGGCTTCCTGTCTCAGGTGGGACTAGAACTCCCAGTTTCTAGCCTGATGCTTTAACCACTACACCAAACAAGCTCTATTTTCAGTTCTTTACTTACTTTTCTTTATGCTTGGATTATATCTATATAGCTATACATTTATTATGTATCTGTATCTAAATATAAACTTATTCCATAATTCTGTTTGATTTTATGCATTGCATGACTGATAGTCAACATATTACAAACGCTATGATTTCTAGAGAGCTAGCTACAGCTAGCGGCAAAAAATTAATAATTGTAAGATTCATAATGATTATAATATGCATTTATAGCCACAAAAATGAATCAAATAATATCTTTGTCTTTTTTCCCCTTTCACTTTTCTATGGGCTGGCAATTCATTAAGCACCTTGAAATATAAATGAAGCAGATCTTGAGGGAGGAGTTCTTGGAATTTAAGTTATTCTGAATTTGTATAAATTGAATAAGTTATTACTCCCAAATCTGTAAGGTAGCTTTCCAGCAGAACCTTTGAAGGTTCCAGCACATGAAGAGGAGAAGAATAAATTTCTATAGAAGGGTGAAATAAAATATGGGTCTCTGTAAGTGGTGGGAATCTCCCAGATACATTTAATTGCATATTTTTAGAGATATCATGCAGGACTCTCAGTTCTAAAATCTGGCTTCTGCAAAGCATGCACAATGTACGCTATAATAGGAAAATTAAAATATTTATTAAGTTTTCTAGCTTTTATCTGTTTCCTTCTTTAAGATAAAAATGGTTTTGTTATTTCATTCCAGGAATTACGGAATGGAAATACTTCACTCAGCTACTTTAATTCTGCATTTAATATCTTTTACCTTACTTTAGCTAAATGTTTTATGAATATTACTAAAACTTTACACTCAACCTGCTATTCTGCTGAATTAAATCTACCTACACCTTTATCACTAAATTAGCTTGTCATTTGCTCTTGTTTCATAGCTGTTCGGTGTGTTGAATTCTTGCTTAGCTGATCAGCTTACTACTGTGTAGTGTATTCCCTTTCAGTAATTAGGCTTTTAGCATAAATGATCTTAAACACTTATAGTTTAACACTTAAGCATTTATTTAAGAATCACATATGCCGTTTTGTCACAGAAGAGATACTGCCGACTAGGAATCTGTGAACATGTACTCAGTTTCCAGCATGAGCAATTTCCAGATGTGTGGGCTTCCAGAATTCCCCAGCCAGCATGGATGTTGCTAAGAATTTGGGGAACTGAAGCTTGCACATCTGGAGGATATCAAGATTGGGAAAGGCTGACCCTCGGTAATTTGCAAATAATTTGAGAATGAAATATATAATTCTTACTGCTTGCATATATTAATGATTGTTGTAAGAAGATACCTGATGTTTTAAACAGAAGAGTGTTTATCCTTACTTATTTTCATGATGATGGGTTTTGTTTCTTGCCCAAGTATGTGTAGCAAGATTTTAGATCTCCACTTCTCTGTTTAGCTACCTCAACTAATCAACTGGTAATTGGTTTATTCTTCAAGGAATAAATATCTACATGTTGTATTCTAGATAATGTAGCAGTATCACAATACTTTTAAAAAAGCTAAGCTAATTTAGGAAACGGTACAATGTTGGAGACTTTTATTGTAGAGTTCACAACAAAGTATGATGTAATATGTACTGAATAGTAATTGCATAATGTATAATTTATATATAGTCTCAGGTACCATGAGATTGTTAATTATAAAATATTGTTAAACTATAAAGTGGTTGGTGCCTCCAGAGATGTTGCTCTAGATCAGCGGTTCTCAACCTGGGGGTCACGACCCCTTTGGGGGTCAAACGGCCATTTCACAGGGGTCGCCAAAGCCCTCTCTCGCCCTCCCCATGTCTTCATTCACCCTCACCCTCTGCCTCTGTTGGATCGCCGGTTGCTCACCCCGCCCACTCCCAATCTATTGCTGCCTCCTGAGTCCCAGCTGATGGCTAGAGGGAAAACAACTGTTTAAATTCTTGCCGCGGGGCTTCAAAGGGCTGCCCTACAGCTGATCAATGTTAAAAGAAAACAAATGAGAAGACCGGTGCCTGCAAAAATAGAAAAAAACAGCCCCTTTCAGCTTCAGCATAGGTTAATTACCATAAGTTGATTTGCTCAGCCTCCGGACTCTCAGCTGATTTGCTCTCAGCTGTTTTGCGGAGTTGCTAGCTGCAAAGAGAGGAGCAGATTTTTTTTCCCCCCAGCTATGCTGAAAAACGAAACTAAAAGTAAAGCAGGGTCTTTGCTGCAAGTGACAAAATGAGGCAGAGAGAGATTTCTTTTTCTTTTTCCTCTCCAAAAAAGGTAGGTGTAAAACTGCAAACAATGGGAAATTTAGGGCAAAAGAGGAGGTTCAAGATTTTAAAATACAAAAGAAAAAAAGCTCTATTTAACTAGGGAATTGTAATAATTGAGATACTATTAATTGTATATTGTGTTGAAAGCAGAAATGGTTAAGTTGTGGTTTGGAGGAATATATGAGGAAATTATTTGGTTTATTATTATTGGTAAATATAATTAATTGATTTATAAAAAATTGGATTGCATGGAAATAATTGGAATATTCATGTTCATATTGATTGATTTACAAAAAAGATAGTTATATAACTAATTGATTTATATTAAAATGTTGAATTTGTATTAAACAACTGTATTACATAATTACATAATTAACCAATGTGAGGATGGATATAAAAATAGATGACAATGGGAAGCGGTATAATATAGAATACAAGGGAAAAATTGAATTTGATTAAGATTAGAGATGAGGATGAAGAGTAATATTGGTTTTTTTAAAAAATAGATGAGGAATAAATATGGCAAAAAGGAAATATAGAAATTGTAAATGTAATTGAAATGACTAAACACTGTTTAAATTTGTGAACCGGCCAAATACTCTGTTCAAAGAAAATACATTGTATGTTTGTATGTGTGTTTCTAATTATTGCTATTTATTCAGATTTGTTCTCTTTTATTCTTTAAAGTTTAACAATTCATTCTTTATCTTAATATCTTAATATTTGTTTGGGGTTGGTTTTCTTCCCTTTCATCTTTTTTATTGTACAGCAATCTTTCTCCTCAAACCTACTACCTCTCTCTTTTCTTTCCTTCTTACTTTCTCTTCCCCCCTCTTCTTCTCCTTCCTACTTCCTCTTCCTTTCTCCTTCTCCTCCTGTCTTCCTCCCTGTCTTACCCTCACTCCTACTCTAATTTCCCTTCCCTTCCTTCATCCCTCTCTATTGCTGTATCCTTTTATGCATATGGACTACTCAGAAGGCTGAAAAAGTTATTTTTGACTGGTCCTTGCACTTTTGACCAGTTCTCGAACTTACGACTGTCCTCACATTTTACGTTTTTGCCCTATCTTGTCACCATGGTGAAGAGAAGCAGTTGTGAAATGAGTGACACGGTTGTTAAGAATGCTACAATGGGCATGATGACCAGTCAAAAGTGCGAAGACCGGTCAAAAGTGCGAGGACCTGTCAGAAATCACTTTTTTCAGCCCTCTGAGTAGTCCTTTTGTGCATATGGACTACTCAGAGGGCTGAAAAAGTTATTTTTGACTGGTCCTCGCACTTTTGACCAGTCATCGAATTTACGACTGTCCTCACATTTTACGTTTTTTGCCCTATCTTATCACCATGGTGAAGAGAAGCAGTTGTGAAATGAGTGACATTGTTGTTAGGAATGCTGCACGGGCATAAATGTGAGGATGGTCAAAAGTGCGAGGATCTGTCAGAAATGACTTTTTTCAGCCCTCTGAGTAGTCCCTATACACATAGCCATAGCCACCCGGTCACATGACCAGCTAGCCATGCCCACCCAGTCACATGACCTCCAAGCCACGCCCACAAAATAAGCCACGCCCACAGAACCGATAGTAAAAATTTTTAGAACCCACCCCTGGTTGGGGGTCACCACAACATGAGGAACTGTATTAATGGATCACGGCATTAGGAAGGTTGAGAACCACTGCTCTAGATCTTACAGGACTATTATTCTAGGAAATTCTAACTTAATAACCATAATCCATACTTAACATCTATTCTGAGATGAGATGCAAAGAATTATAACTGTTATAGAAAATTTTCACTGGCTATATAACAATCTATTTTTTCTCTCTCTTTTTTAAAGGAACAGCGTAGCTGTTTCAGCTGTTTGTGTGTTCAACATGACCGCAATAACTCAGGTCTTTAGTGGGTCATTCAAATACCAAGAAAACTCTCGTTCTGCCTGGCTTCCTTATCCCAACCCTAATCCTAATTTTCAGGTAGTTGAAAATAAACAGGTGTTCTTAATGTATGCATGTCCATCAAATTGCACTTACAGTTTTAGGAAGTTAAAATATTTATAATCACAAGGGTTCAATAGAGAAATAAATAAACAGGGTAAAAATAATAAAGCTTCCAAATACCCTGAGTTTAACATTTAACTGACAGCTTTAAATCCATAGTAATGATGATATGAGTTGCAAGCTGATAACATTGGGAGAGCAATACATTGTCCATTGAGCAGGGGTATTTTCGGTTCCTCCTGGAAGCGAAGACTGTCTGGATTAATCTATCCAGCCTACATAGGGAGTGAATTTCACATTCTGCTACTCCTAAAAACTCATCATTCTGTGTTTCCATTGCCTAGATTCTTTTTGTTCTTAGATATGACCCTAGACATAAACTGAAAACTGAATACAGTATGAGGAAATGAGCTTTCAGTTTTCTTGTCCTAAATGGTTTATGATTTAATAGGAAGAATCAGCACTTTAAATTGGACTACAAACAAACTGAAAACTTGTGCAACTTATGTAGAACAGGTATTAGGATGATGCATAAATTGTGGCACCAATAAGCAATCTGGTTAAGAATTTTACAGCAACTGTAGTTGAAAAACACACTGTGAGGGCAGTTCCTGTGATGTCTGCTATATTAATTTACCAAGGAAGGACTAAGCATGGATCTTAGTTCTTCCTTGGTAAATTGGTGATTCCATGGAAACATGGATCACTGTTGCTAGGTTAGTTTTCTCCAGGAGATAGAACTAGAGCACCAAGTAAAATTGAGCAAAAGAAAAACTTCTCACAATTGCCATCTTGGCTTCCAGAAACAAAGTTGGATCTACACCCCTCCTTTATAGTTTTGTACTCATTTGAAACAGAAAAGCTTGAGGGCTAAAATACAGCAGTTAGCTTAATTATAATTGTGATAACCTAATTCTTGGAGAGGAATTTCCTTGGGAAAAGTAGATGTATAGTGAAGCCCTAACAGAAAAACAGAGCCTATCAGGTATGAAATACCAAGACCACACGTGAAGTTCCAATTAAACTGATTTATTACTGTTCATGCCAAAGTACAGGAATCTACTCAACCAATATCACTGTTGTGGAGCTAGATAAGGGCCAACAAAATTCAAGAGGGGTTACACTTAGTCCATTTGTGGCTACATAGAGACTCTAGGCTGATTTCTTTTTTGATTCTGTCCACAGGCTCTGCCATTCCTTCTCTTACAGAGCCTGAGGCTCCTGTTATAATTATAATTACAACTGTGGCTGAGATGCCATTGTGCTTTTGAGTTCCAAGTCTTGCTGGTCCTATCCAGGGTGGACAGCAAACGGACACAATCTGGAGATTGTGTTCTATGTACTTCTTCTTTGTGATATAGGTATATAAGGATCAAAACATCACTTATCTATTGTTTCTTTTTTGATATATCTTCATTGCAACATATTTGTATGTATGGAAATTTATAGAGTATATATGGATAATCTGCTAATGAGGAAAAGGATTGAAGTATATTATATAGCTGGATGACCAGTCAGTTGTTCACAGCTTATTATAAGAATTAGCCTTTAGATTGTTATAATTTGGGATCTCAAAATGCACTATATGTTTTAAGTTCTTAAAATCTTGAATTAATGTAAACAGTATTATATGTATACATTTTCAGTGTGGCACCATGGATCAAGGCCTGTATTTGAATCTGACAGAGAGGAATCTCCAAGATGCCCAGAAATTTATTTTGATGCATGAAGTGATCCAACCTATCACACCAGTTCCTTACTTCATGGAGGACAATAGCCGCTTTTCCCATGTGGTTGTGGATGTGGTACAAGGAAAAGAAATGCTTTTTCATATAATTTATTTGGCCACAGGTAAATTATGTTTTTATTTCCTCACTTTCTTTATTTCTAACATGCAGAGATTATTCAATAATTCTTTAGCTGAAATTTAACAAAAATATCCTAACAAGCACTTTAAAACACCAGTAGTAAAATAACATAAAACTAACAGCAAGGGGGAAATAGTGGTATATACAATAATAATACACAACTGATATTAAGTTATCTATCCAGCCAGCCATTAATATATCCAAATTAATCTGTGTTTGTTAATGTATATTTGCATGGATTTATCTTTATTAGAGATAACAATAAAGAAAGCAAATGAGATTTGCTTTATTAGAGAAAAAAATGTTTAACTAATATTTTGTTTGCCAATCATTTTTATGAACTGGAAGTTGAACTGAAAGACCTATGGGCTATGTAAAAGTAATGTCTGATCTTTTTCTTCTTAGAAATTTAGAAAAACATATTTGATGTTCAGCTTTGTTTCCAAGGAAATGCAGTATTTAGGGACTTCATAGATTTAAACAATGTAACAATTAAAACAGGTTTTAAAATTCATATAAACTCACATATAAACTTGCTAAATAATCCTTATATTTATGTCTTGATCTGCAGGAATGAAAGGTTTGACTTAAAGACCTGGGTAGTTTTGATGGATGTTGCCTTAGTTAGAAATGTTAATATCTAGTTATAGTACCTGTGTTTAATTAGAACGTGACTTCTGTTGCAAAACATTGGAATGGCTGAGAAGGGGAAAACAAACGTGTGTTTTCACCATTGAGAGTTATTAAAGTTACTGGCATGTTAAACCTATGTGTCAAACTTTTGTACATTAAGTGAATTAGTGGCAGTTACTCCATGCAAGTAAGATGAATTATCTTCATGTATTAATATATTCTTTCTCATTTTTGCTCATCCTCCCATCCTCCCAATCTCTTTTATGGCTTCAGTACCCTTCTGGAACTATATGTAGTATGATACACTTTTTTTAAATCAAGGCTGTTAATAATGAAAGTCAGCAATTCTTTCCTGAATGCCACTGGTTATACACAATTGTCTATTGGGATCCAAGCTGATATGACCATCTGTACTTTAAGAAAAGAAATAAAAAGAGAAGAACATTTCTGTTTCATCTATTCAGTCCCCTGTTAACTTTATTATTGGATTTCCAAACAATCATTGTACTTAAACTGAATTTGATATTTTTGCTAAAAAGCTTGGCAAAAGAAACTGAAGAGCAATAACTTCATGATATGATTTCTAGCATGGGACTGTAGACATTTTAATGTTTAAAAAATAGAGTGATTTATTTATTTCCCAATGTAATTTTTCTTTGAGGAATATGGATCTCCAATAAAATGATAAAAATGGAGTAAGTTAGAATAGGATGATTGAATTGCTTTATTTATAAAATAATGTTCACCATACAATCATATATTCATGAAGGCAGAAATATGACATTTAATATAAATGTGTGATACAAGAAACAGGATATAATATTTATAATTAGAAAGAGTGTTAATTCATTTCCATATAATGAAACTTTGTGTAGTATTTGAAATGTGTTGTACTTAGAATGAAGCTTTGATTCTATAGGTTTGAGTATACACTGTTAAAAATCTAACAAACCTGAGAAAAATATAAAGCAAAACATGCATATAGTATGATTAATCAATAAAATTTGGTTCATAAATCATCTTGAAAATATGTGAGTTTTGAAGACACTGAAATGTCACTATTTTTTGACTTCCATATTATATTTGAGTTAAAACTGGCAGAAAGTAGTTAAACAACTGAGAAAACAGAGATATCTCAGAGTTATAGCAATGTGCTTGAATGGAAATATTTTCAGAAGCAAATTTGTTATTATATGTATGTCTTTTCACTTGGCTATTATTTATAGATGGCTCAAAGGTTTTTAGTCCTTGTCCATTACTTTTTATTTGTTTAGTATGTTGTTTTAAAAAATCCACATGCTGTTCTGGCTCATCATAAATGAAAATTGAATGGTTGGTACATAGTGTGTCTAGTCTGCAGGAGTTCCTTACATAAATTAATTTACAATGACCTCAACTTTCATATTGCAATTTGTTGAAAGCAGTATATTTATGATGCTGATATAAGATGATGTATACTTACAGTATATGATATTACTAGTTATGTTTCAGGCAGTAGTGTTTTAAAAAATAAAATAAAATATTGATTATTAATAATTAGCTATGTAGTTTGCTGTATCATATCTTTCTTTAAGATTTTAGATAAAATGAGGCATCTGCCAGATTGTGCTTTACTTGTGTGCTTTATTCTGAATGGCCATTTGGAATTCCATGAAGCTGAGAAAAAAAAATCTCTATTGTGAAGGATTAGGTAGATTGGATCTAAATTCATATACAAGTCTGGATGCGTAGATGCAGATGTTTCTAATCTACGTGTGGCCTTCAGGCAGAATTACGAGTGAACGTTGAACTGTCAGAGTTCTGGAAGGATTCATAGCCTGCAGTTATTTATACTTTTTACATCTTATTTCTCAGTTATTTTATCTGTGCTATGTGAAACTACTTAATTAAGTAAATTTTGGAAGATTTCTGGGGAAAAAATCCAAACTACTTGCAACATATAATATGCTATTTCACTAATCTGTAGTTTTACATAAACTATCATTGTAATACCTTTAGAATAGATGGGTAGTATAGCTATGTATTATTGCAAACTAACCAGGTTCTTGTGATACTACTTCTTGTATCTCTATCTTTGTCTCTCTATTTCTTTGTACGCATAAAAAATATGCTTGTCCCAAAGATGCTTCTTACAAAAGGCAACTGGACTTTCTTGGGTTTTTTCCCCTTTGAAAATGTTTTGCTAAACTGAAGAAGCTTCTTGGATAAGAGGTGAAATGTTTTCAAAGGAAAAAAACCAAGAAAGTCCAGTTGCTTTTTGGAAAAAGCACTTTTGGGACAACTATTGCCTGGGTGATTGAGAATTTCCATAGGCAGACTTTTTTAACCAGATTGTGAAAATTCCAGAAATTATAAAAGTTGCGTATGTATGTAAATTAATAGACCCATACCTGCCAGCCTTTTAATCTCTTAACTTGTTTTGGAGTTAAAATTGTTATTATACTTTTCCCTACTGGAATGAAAACATGAACATACATTGATATTCATCATTCTATTCTTTTTTTGTGGTTAAATTTAATACATAGCACAGAAAAAAGAGAAGTAGTTAGCTAAAGTAATTTAAAGCAGGAAATAAGACGATAAAAAGTAATTATATCTTGTTTAAATCAAGCCATTCATTATATATTATTGCCTTTGCAAATCATACTTATTTCCATCATATATATATATGCTGATCCATATATTGTATTTTGTTCTTTAAACTTCTCACCTTGTTCTTTTTCAGGACCTTATCAATCTGATCCAACAATAAATTTCTCTACCCTCTGCTTCCTCTTGTTCTATTCATTCTTCGTTTGCAGTTTGATCCTCATTCAATTTCCCGATAGAATCAAAGCATCTCAGTCTATTGTTTTCCCACTAGACAATGTATTTTTTCCATTGGCCATTTATTTTTATATTCAGCTCATATTCATTCCATCCCTATTCATTCTTGGCCCTGATTTTTCTTGTTTTACCACTCATAACTTCTCCATTTCTACTGCATATAAGTACTTTTTATGTTCCTTCAGCAATACTCAACACTTATATAAGAAAACAGAAGTACTCATTAGAATCAGGGATTTTTGCTTCTCATTACAATCACTCCTAGACCTTATAGAAAGGTCTAAAAAATTCATTCACTTTCTCTATTTTTTGTCATTTACTTTATGTATAATTTGAAATGATTTATTCCTGTTTTTTTATTACATTAATTTTCAGATCCATAATCCTTGTTGCACCATAGAAACAAGGTCTGGAAACTGTTTGGGTTTTCTTTCTCTAAGTATAAGTATTCATGTTCCCAACCATCATTCTATACATCCACCACAAATATTCCATTCATCCATCCAACTAAGGGGTATCATAAATCTTGTTCTTATGTTCTGTTCAAGGATGTACTAGTTGCTAAGCAGTCCATTTATTTTCATGCATGGTTTAGTTTCAATATATAGTTCTCTTACTGCATTTAGTGACCAACTTTCCACACCAAATATAAAACTTTCCATATTTCTCCTTATAATCTGCTTTTCCTCCTATTCATATATTTTGCTTTTTCCTCATTAAAGGAAAAAAAATCTGAAAAAAAATCTGATCAATGCCTTTGACTGGCATAAAGCCACACTGGGCTTCCCAAATTTTGCTCATTGTCCCTTGTTTCTATCAGAATTTGGAGATATGCCGAGTAATACTTAACAAATTCAATATTTTTGGGTTTAGTTTTTCTACCTGTCCCACTTGCACTCTTCCAAGTACAGTCTTCATACAGACTCAAACAGTTTATATAACTGCTTTCTTTAAAGAATCAATACCATATTTCAACTTTTCCCCAGTTACAAAATCTATACCTACAGCCTTATCATTTGAAAACACAAAACATTTATTATTTGTTTTTTGTGGAACATTAACATTTATAGCATTCATTTCAATTTCAGGTTTCAATATATCACTATCATTCCCATGCAGATCTCTAAAAAAAAACTTTTTACAACACTTGTTCACTAATATTTCATCTGAAACCATTAATCATTTTTATTCTTAATTCCATTCATTCTCCTGGAGGCTGTTAATTCTTTTCATTGTCTTTAAAAGCAATTTTTATTTTCATTAAAATCTCTGCATTTTCTCTGTCTCTTTTAATATTAACTTTTCCACGCTGACTTTGATGGCATTATTTGAAGCAAATCTTTCCTCTTGAGACAAAATATTAAGTATCTTTTATTGGGGCTTTTTTTGGGGCAGTCATCATTTTTTTGCATCCATTTTTTTCCTCATGCACAGGCTATTCCACAGAGTAATTCCATCAGGCATCCTTTGTTTTGATTCCTATTAATGTAACTTTAAACATTTCAATTGTTTAAAATTTATACG